TCTGGGTAATAACAGCACCACTGTCTATGTTGGGGCACATTGTGCATGCTCTCCTAATGTTTTAACAAGACTCTTTTCTAGTGTCATTGTAAGAGGTAATGATCGGGGTTTACTGGCTACTACCTACTCAAAGTTGTTCTGGTGGTGGTTAAAAAGTTGTCCTGTTGTTGTCATTTCTTTAACCAAACTCATTTTGTTATATGTGTTCTGTTCGTCTGGGCTTTGTAGGTGTGATGTTCATAATTTGTTCTGTTCTTGTATTATAATAATTAACACCAAAAATATTTCAGCTTTTTTTAAGTACATTTTTAAGTAATAAATGTGGCACAAAAATAATCTGAAATCTGACATGTCATGTACGACTTTCTAAGTCGTAGTTAAAGAACCTGTACTGGAGATTGACTGTCACATTTATTTTAAGATATCTGGTCAGTGGATATGTGTTGTTCTAAAAATCTTATTATCACTGTATTTTACAATAGTTATCTTTTTGGGAGCCATTGTATAAAATACAGCATAAATGACACTAGGTGTGGCTAGTTGTTGTTTATTGTGATGTAGTAAAACCTAATTAGTCACTTTATAAGGAATTAATTTAAAAAACAAAATGTTAGTAATACATTAAACTCCATAGAAAACACATAGAAAATTCAAAAGTTCAATTTGAGGGATGTGGTTTTTATTTGGTCAATCAGTTCTCCAGAAGTGAATATTAACAACAGTCTGCCACCAGCATGATGGATGTTCTTAGTACCTCTAGGAAAAAGCAAAAAGAAAATCATCCTTTGAGATGGACAAAACCAATTATCAACAACTATATTGTTAGTCTCCCATGTGGTTGTCTTTTTGTACAGCTGGCAGTGAGAGCAGTGATAGGCAGTTAGTGGAGAGGAAAATGCAGAGTAGCATTAAAGGAATGTACATAAACAATAAGGTCATTGTTTGTGTGTATAGGAAAGAAAAGATGCACTATAAATAGAGAAAATGTTTGTATTCTAAGCGATTTGCACATGTTGAATTTTTGTTTTTTTAATGTGAACGGATCTTTCCAGAGTCAGGACTCGCACAAAAGAAAAACAGGTTGAACATGTAATTCTGAGAGTCATCTAATTCTCACATTTTTACTCAAGTTCCAATTTTAGCAGTGCATTTGCATACATATAAGTGGCAGATGGGAAAGAAGGAAAGTAGGGCACACTGTAGCATAGGCGAACCAATTTTAACTGTTTTTTTTTTCTGAATTGTTGCCACAATGGGAAAATTACAGTAAATTGTCATTTTATTTTATGTTTTGTGAGAATATCCATTTTAGAGACATGTTGCAGCAGGGATTAAGTGGAATTCGTTCAGCAAGTTTTCTTCTTCTTTTTTAATGGTTCTTTGTGAATGTTGTTGCAGGAACATGAATGGACTGGAGACTGCTCACCTCACAGCCATTACTGTCCCTCCTGCTGCCTCCTCTCCAGGGTTAGTGCCCCTCACTGTGTGACACAAACCACCTTTATGAACTTCAGCTAAAACCTTTAAACCCATATGCAAGAAGAGTTTAGACGAAGACTGAACACAGTTGGTGTATAACACGGTGGTCCAGATGATCCCAGTGTCTCTCTTCATCTTTTCCCTCTGTCTTTGTAGTAGACACTCTCACGCCTGTGCTTCATCCCTGCTGTAATTATGGGTGTGTATCTGTATTTACCTGTATGTGTCACTGTATCACCTCTAAATCACTGGGTTGTATAAAGACAATGAAGTTCCTCTCTACTGTTGACACAGGATTTCAACAGGCTTCAGCTGATTTGCAAAATGACTGCTAATAGTCTTGAAGAGAAACGTTATGCAATTCCTTATGGTCAAATCAATGATTTGGTAAATTTATTTTTTTTAACTAATACTTTTTCAATTGCAATAACTTTATTAGTGATAATGCATTCACAACTGCAGCATTGAATGCAAATCAAGGGTGATGCGATATACTGTATAGGTCATTTTTGATGCCGATTCAATGTTTCAAGCTTTATCTAGTTGAAGATTTAAATTACTATCTTTGTTTTTTGCAGTTTTCTCACCAGCTTTAACCTGAACTTTGAGCTATTAGCAAAGGGGTAATGGAAGTCTCTGTGTCACTGTTTAGGGCCAAATGTGTCATTAACTTCTGAACTTTGTGTCATGATGTGCACAGTATTGGTCATATTGATCGTTATTTATAGACTGCCAGGTGAAGTTGTGATGTCCTCGTGTTCAGAGTAGGTAAGCAGCTTGTATTCTGTAGTCTTTGTTTTTATCTTGTTCAAATCTGGCTTTTTTGTTTCAAATTTATTACAAAACTCAATTTCAGTAACAGACAAGTAAAGCACTTCGACCTCGAGTTACACAAAATGTCACTTTTTTTCCTGTCTATTCAAGTGCAATATTGCTTGTGTGGGTTTATTTCAGATTTCTTAAGTAGCATGTTTTAATAAATGTTGTTTAAAGTTGTTCGCTATTTATTCAACGTAATTGTTAATTTTTATGTAGCTTTTATGTAGCTCATACTGGAAAGAATACACTGGCCTAGAATTAAGGATTAATTACTAGACCTCTTACCAGCAATTTCCTTCAATCCCCCCCCCCAATCATAGCATCCATTATAGAAATTATATCATCTTATGCAGTAATGTTAATTCATAGTTATTTAATATTACCTTTTGGACACAGTATTATCTTATATATGTCTGTTATTGTGTGAAGACACTATGAACCTGTGCACCTCGAGAAAACGCACACGTACACGAGGAGAACATGCCTACTGGATACAGGAGGACCATCCAGTTACCACCGGACCGGCGATCTTCTTCCTGTAAGGCGAGTACTAACTACTGTACTAACTACTTGTTCCATCCCTTTCAGGTTACAAACGCCTGTAGAAAGAAGGACGTCAACTAGTGTCTATTTGAGCAAATGCCGCCCTCTGTTGGGCAAGAATGTAACTCGTAGTCAAAAGAGCATATCAGGAATTGTGTTTATTTATCATTCAAAAATCTAAACAGACCATATATAATAAATCAGTTATATATTAATGTGTGAACATCAGATTTTTGTATGACGGACTTCGGCGGCGCTTATATTGACTGTATAGATGATGTTTGCACATGACAATTCCAAAGCCTTCACGTGTCACACATGAATCACAAACACGAGTCCACAACAGAAAATCTGCTCAACATCATCAGCCTTCATCTCAGCTCGTCCCTCTTCTCTTATCAGCAATCGCCTCCATCTGCCTCTGTCTCATCTCCAGCACTTCCAACAGCTTGACATTATTTCTGGCCTGCTGCTGAGCCCTGAGCTCTGGCACATCTGGAAAGAAGGTGTGTCTGCATAGAGAAAGGGTCAACAATGATAAAATAATATTAGTGTGTGCACTTTGCATTAGAGACATAATTGAAGAGACCTTAATGTCCCTGTACATGTACATAATCTCAATCAAATTCACGTTAGATCGATATAACAATACAATATGCTATTGACACGCACATTTTTTGTTTTATACACGATTTTATTGTTTCCCTTCCACAACAATTAATACACAAAACTTTTAAATGCACTGGCTTTACCCCGAGATATTGTTCTGGTGGGACAATGTGACCTGAGGCATGGTACACACCCAGTGCAAACCTTAACACAATAACAGAAATTTACATTATACCTGTAAACGAAACCTGTGGCTAATCCAGCAAATAGCGTCCCAAGCAGAAGTGGTTTCGCCAGGCGTTTCCCAGCGGTAAATTTACGAGGATTCATCACCACTGTAGGTACGCCACCGAAATGGAGTTTGTTTCATCTTCACAACTTCCGTTTTTATGCTTCCGATTTGGCTTTCAAGACAGTATTTGAGTTTACTAAATTTCAAGTGTTCAAAACATTTGATACAGAATACTTCAAACTTAAAGATAATCTAAATGTGTAATACTAAATTTGTTTACGTTGTATTCGACTTTCCAGTTATACTGTACGCAAACATGAGTGTGCTCGGAAAAACGTGACCTACGTCAGTTGTTTTTTTAAAATATTTTATTTTATTTAAAATGAGAAAAATGTTTACAACCCCTCTCATATTCCAAATAAATTGATATTCCAAAAAGTTTAAATTGCATTAGTTTAAGTTATGCGTGTCTGTTTGGTTTCCACCGGAACTGCTCTCGTGCAATTGACGACCGGACACTATTAGGGGACGGAACAAACCAAGAAGTGGCAACAACAGCAACTAGCAAGATGTGTTGTAAAGCGGAACGTTTGGGCTATTAAACGTTACATTGGAATATTTTCATAGGTCGTTAAAGTGCAGCAGATTACAACCATGTGGAAGAACTCTTCTGAAGGATCTGACCGACTTGAATATTTACAAAATTTGGTGACAGAGTTTCAGGACACTGACAATGAGGGTGAGATCGATATTTGTATGTACTGTTAGGTTTCGGTGAGACATTTTCTTACATGTATATTTAGTGTATGACGAGCGATAAATATGAAAAATAATACAAAAGTTTAATTAAAACATTGAGGCCTTTTAAAAGAAACCCCAAAGGGTCTGGTGATTAATTGCTCAGGCAACTACTTTGTTAGTGAAATTAATTTGTTAAAACATTTTGGTTATTTAGAAATTATTATTCTTTTTCTGTTGGGAAGATTAAATGGAAGCTGTAACATTTTTAGGCGTTGTTATTCCGAAAATAAACCGTGTTACGATTTACAGTTATCTGGACATAATATTGTTGGATTAATGTTTTTTTTAAACATATTCAGGCCCTTGTATAATGATTATTAGGTTGATACTGTACATGCATTTATGTCTGTGTAATTTATGTGTGTCGTTAGAGGCAAAAGAGCAAGTGTTGGCCAATCTGGCCAATTTTGCGTATGATCCCAAGAATATGGAGTATCTAAGGGAGCTACAAGTGCTTGACCTCTTCCTAGACATGCTTACTGAGGAAAATGAAAACTTTGTGGAGTTTGGAATAGGTGAGTGTAAAAAAGCTACTTTTTTTAAATTAAGTACTGCCTTGGTGTCTCTCTTACCAGATCCTTCTGTTGGTAGGGGGACTATGTAACCTCAGCGTGGACCCTGAATGCAGAGACACCATCCTGCACAATAGTGGAATTAGTTTAGTCACCAACTGTTTATCAAGCCAGAGGGAAGAGACTGTCTTATCTGCAATTACTACCCTTATGAACCTCACAACACCATTATCACGCGCTGAGATAACTGACCCGGCCATCCTGCAATGTATGTTGCGATTTTCCCTCTCTGAAAGTCCACGACTGCGTAACCTGGCTGGTGTTTTTCTCCAGGACTGTTGCGCTAAAGAGCAGGTTGCCCAGACTGAGCAGGAGATGCATGGACAGCAGACAGCTGTTGGAATCCCACTGCCCAGAAACAACTGAGGTATTCTCATTAAAAATAATAATCTGTTCACTCTAAGTCATATTTTTACTGCAGGAACCTTTACAAGCTATAGACCACAACTTCCTTCTCAAAATAATTTTAGCCTGAGATGTAAGCTGATACATAGTTTGGGGATTTCTGTACACCAAAATCTTTGAATTATGTAAACACCCACTTTTCTGTTGCTCTTTAAACTTTATGTTCACATTTCCAAGCAGCCACTGTGCCTTCTCCAGTAAGTGATGTTGTGTGTGTGGTATCTCTGACTTAGCCAGCTCTTCCACAAACCAGGCCGTGATCTGTGATATGGGAGGAAAAACTCCTAAGAGCTGAGGGAGAGATTAGCGCCACCCTGAGCCCCTCAGTTCACAGTTTACATTGTGGATGAAGGTCTCCAGCAAACTAATCCCACTGAGAGGCAAAGAGAAGCCCACCTGTCATTGTCCCAGATGGCTACTTGGCAGTGCACAAGCTAAAAGGCACCAATTTGAAAAGAAAATGAAATTAAAAGGTGATAAGATTTTCATGTCCATGTTTACCTCGTATTAATCCAAATCATTGACAAAATACACGACCTGTGTAATTTGACTCAATTGTTTGAAAAAAACAGGAGAGGTTCATAAAAACCTCATAGATATTTCCATAGACAAATACAGAGTCATAAAGCCCCTCTACACTACCAAATATTTCATCAATAGAGATGAAACATTTTTAAGTAATAAAACCTGTATCCCAAATACAATAAATATGACTCCATATTAGAGTGAAACACGCCAGTGTGCTACACTGTAAAAAGTCAACCACAAGTTAAGAAATTATGCTATGTATAAAGGTTGTTCTAACTCTAACATTACATGTCAAACCTATCTGCTGTAATTATGCAATTCTTATGCAGTTCTTATGAAGTGAATACACTGCACTGCCTGAAACCATGTCTCTGCTGTTTATGTAGAACTTTCACAAGGAAAACTGCAGTCTGAATTCCTGATGGTCTCATGGAGAGTGGAGTAGGAGGTCTTTTCTCTGAGTCAATGTTTTCCTGACCCAAATATCTGGTTAGTCAGAGCCTCACACTTGTGCAGCTTTCTTCATAGATACAATTTTTGGAGCAGTGGAGTCCTCTACAGACTGTCCACCTCAGCTTCCATATGTTTTCTGTTTCAGAGTTGTACAAAATTAACCCAAAAATAACATATTATATTATCACAGTGAAAAATTCAAATAAAATTAAATCTATTTAAAAAACACAGTTAAATGCAAGTTTAGGAGCTAAACTGTTTACCCAGATGAATAATTTTTTAAAAAAAAAGTCTCATATGACGTGTTGTCAAAGTTTTTACAGAAGACAGCCGATAGTCTCACTTTTGTGAAAAAGAAATCCATAAAAATAATATAATAATATAATGTATGCTCTATAACGTTCATCCAGATAAATAATTTGTTACAAAATTTATTTTTTTAAAATCATCATATTGTGATGTTATAAATATTCCACAAAAGACAATGGATAGTCTGACTTTTGTAAAAAGAAAGAAAGAAAATCAATAAAAATACCTTAAAAGGGCAAGGTTATGCCCTAAAACAGTGGTTCTCAAACTGCTGTCTAGGGGAAAATTCATATTTTCACATTTACATTTTTAATTGAATAAATCTGAAACATACCATGCACAATTAATAAAACATTTAAACATAAACATCTCTCCTGTGTGGTGGAAGCTAATAGGGAAGGCCTATGCTGCTATATTCTAATGCTGGTCATCATGGTGGTACTCAGAGAGATCAATGTTTTCTCAGGTGGTACAGAGTAGAAAAAGTTTGAGAACCATTGCCCTAAAATATTCACCCAGATGAATAATCTGTTAGAAAAATGTCTAGAAAAATTCATATCAAGTAATGTCATACATCTTTCATAGAAGATAGCTTATAAAATTGCTTTTGTGAAAGAAATCCAAAATAATAAAAATGCCTTAAAATGCAATATTCACCCAGATGAATCATTTTTAAGAAAAATGTCTCAAAAAATTCATCATATCTAGGATGTCATAAATTTCCTACAGAAGACAGCCTATATTCTGACTTTTGTAAAAAAGAAAAATATTTATTCAAGTTTATGCCCTTAAATGTTCACCCAGATGAATAATACAAAATCATGTCATGTCAATATTCCACAGAAGATGGCCTATAGTCTGACTTTTGTGAAAAAAATCCTCCCAAAATTTCATAAAAATACCTTAAAAATTACGTTTATGCCAGTGGTTCTTAACCTTGTTGGAGGTTTCATATGCGCATTCACCGAACCTTCGGTGATGGCCAAACGGTAGGCGTGTCATCACGAATCATATGAGTCATTGTGTGTCTTGTCCTTTGCCGAACCCCTGAGACTGACTCACCCAGAAGAATAGTTTTAGTACAAAATTTTACAAAAAAGACACCCTGTCTATACCTAGATAAAAGACTTTTGTGGAAAAAGTCAGAAAATCAAAATGTCAAAAACTAACTCAAAATAAGTCTGTGTTAGTATAATTTTTAGGGGTTTTTCAATTTTTCAATTTTTTGCATTTAGAATCACGTCACTTAGTTATTCTTTTTTGTCTTTAACACATTTACATGATGCTCTTTATATTCTTTATTCTTTCTTTAATGAACATTTCATAGTATTGAAAATTTCAACTTCAATACCAAAACAATATTCCTTGGCCTTGAAATGTGTTCAGTTGTCAGTTCTATTGTAAAAATACTTTTGTCTTTAACATTGCAGTAAGTAAAAGAAGCAAGTGCATGTACAGTATCTTGTTTTGTTTTTTTTTTTCTTGTGTAGGAAGTGGAAAACTGAAATAGTACTTCAGTAGAGCAATCTTAATACAGCTAATGTTATATTTTTATAATTACAAATTCCTTCTATCTAGAGGGTAACAGAGTGACTACTAGCCCAGTACAATCTAAGAAATAGAAAAAGCAATATAGCTAGAAGACTTGTGTTCTAGAGCATATTATACAACCACGCCCCCGCAACGCCCCCATTTCCCTTTGAAAACCGCTGGCATAGACTAAGACAAATTATTTAAATACGTTGTCAGAATTATTAAGTAAAATGACTCGGGATAAAACTAATGAAGGTGAATTGCTCCGTCGAGATTACGTTTAGATGTAGTGACTACATCTAAACGCGCCAGATACACCAAATACACCAAAACCGAACAACTCCTCACGTTACGTCCCGACGATGTGATACGTATCCATCCGCCAAATCAACAGGTGGAAAACTACGTTAAATTATTTTTCAACCGTGTTATGGAGGTAAGCTTATATATTTTCCTCTATTTCATTTTATTTTACCTGCAGTATGACCACATTGTTTAAAGTAAAAAACCAAACACATCTTTTTCCCGTAGGCCACCTCAAATGTCATACAATATAACGTTTTGACCCCTTTGTAAAGTGCGTAGATTAATTAGCACAAAATTCAATTGTTGAAACTGCTGTACAGGTTAATGCTCGATGCGTAACGCCTGCAAATAATGTCCATAATGAAAACCGCACCGCGCTTTTTACAAATTTGAAACTTATTTGACAGAAAAATGTTTTTGTTTTGTGGGGGGGTTATTAAAATATTTTTTAAAATATTTTTCAGCATTTCCTTTATCGAAAGGACAGTCTTCGTGCGAATGTTAAGCTCAAGAATTATTAAAGGACACTAAACGGAGCCTCTGTAGTTTTTTATAGTACCTTTAAATGCAGAGCTGACCACACTTTTAATAAAATAATAATAGTTTAGTACAGTAACTTTATTGAATTGCATTACATTTAGGAAACACTCTCAACTATTCATAGAGAAGAAATTAAATTTAGTTTGTAAAAACTCTCAC